CTACAGTTGCTGTCAGTGTGTTTCAGCTGCAGGTTACTAATAGCACTGTGGTTTAGGCATAGTTACTGTCACTGTATTCTTGTTATAGCTACTCTCGGTGTGTTTTAGCTACAGCTGCTGTCAGTGTATTTCAGCTGTAGGGTACTAATAGCACTGTGGTTTAGGCATAGTTACTGTCACTGTATTCTTGTTATAGCTACTCTCGGTGTGTTTTAGCTACAGCTGCTGTCAGTGTATTTCAGCTGTAGGGTACTAATAGCACTGTGGTTTAGGCATAGTTACTGTCACTGTATTCTTGTTATAGCTACTCTCGGTGTGTTTTAGCTACAGCTGCTGTCAGTGTATTTCAGCTGTAGGGTACTAATAGCACTGTGGTTTAGGCATAGTTACTGTCACTGTATTCTTGTTATAGCTACTCTCGGTGTGTTTTAGCTACAGCTGCTGTCAGTGTATTTCAGCTGTAGGGTACTAATAGCACTGTGGTTTAGGCATAGTTACTGTCACTGTATTCTTGTTATAGCTACTCTCGGTGTGTTTTAGCTACAGCTGCTGTCAGTGTATTTCAGCTGTAGGGTACTAATAGCACTGTGGTTTAGGCATAGTTACTGTCACTGTATTCTTGTTATAGCTACTCTCGGTGTGTTTTAGCTACAGCTGCTGTCAGTGTATTTCAGCTGTAGGGTACTAATAGCACTGTGGTTTAGGCATAGTTACTGTCACTGTATTCTTGTTATAGCTACTCTCGGTGTGTTTTAGCTACAGCTGCTGTCAGTGTATTTCAGCTGTAGGGTACTAATAGCACTGTGGTTTAGGCATAGTTACTGTCACTGTATTCTTGTTATAGCTACTCTCGGTGTGTTTTAGCTACAGCTGCTGTCAGTGTATTTCAGCTGTAGGGTACTAATAGCACTGTGGTTTAGGCATAGTTACTGTCACTGTATTCTTGTTATAGCTACTCTCGGTGTGTTTTAGCTACAGCTGCTGTCAGTGTATTTCAGCTGTAGGGTACTAATAGCACTGTGGTTTAGGCATAGTTACTGTCACTGTATTCTTGTTATAGCTACTCTCGGTGTGTTTTAGCTACAGCTGCTGTCAGTGTATTTCAGCTGTAGGGTACTAATAGCACTGTGGTTTAGGCATAGTTACTGTCACTGTATTCTTGTTATAGCTACTGTCGGTGTGTTTTAGCTACAGTTGCTGTTAGTGTGTTTGGCTTTCGGTTCTGTCATCGTGTTTTAGCGGTAACAAATGTCAACGTATTTTACCTACTACGGCATGTTATATTTGCAGCTACTATCAATGTGTTTCTGTATAACTACTGTTCACATATTTTAGCTATAGCTATTGTCTGTATATTTTAGTTGCCTGAGTTAGGTTAGGTTTTGCCTGTTGAAGGTGTGTAGGAAGTTACGTAAAGCTCTCTGGGTCACTCGATAGTGTGACCGGTGCACCTACGCACGCAACAATGAAATCACGACTCTGAATAATTTAAATCACGCTCGACCATGTGTACGCAAACGTGAGCGCTCTCGCGCATACTCTACTGCATGACGTCATTACGACGCGTCACCTTGGCTTTTGGCGTTACTGCTTCCCTGACTCTACCCTCTTTCTTGCGCGACTGCTCCCATGCAGAAGGTTCATGGGTCGAAGCTCTGCATTTTTTATTTTACTTTACCGGGGTCACTTCTACGTCAATTTTATACTGCTCTATACAAACTATACTAAAAATTAATTTGCTTATTTCTCTGTCCACGTATTTCTTGTAAAAAAGGCACAGCTATCCCTGTAACAGGCCGTGAAGGCCCATGGGGTTTTGAGACGTCAAGGCTCCCACATTTTATCTAGACAGTTAACTCACAGACGGCGGTAAAGTTGTCAACCTTACGAGCAGGCTAACCTTTATCTCCCCCCCCGGAAGATTCTTGGTACTCATTTCTGTCAGAGACTGAGTCCACCCCATGGCCATAGTGCGGCTGGAAGGTTTAGGTAAATTGAAAAAAATCCACCTAATCGGGAATCGAACCCGCGACCTTCAGGCTTGCAGCATAGTGCCTCAACCAACTACGCTACCGCGTGCCCCCCCCTTATCTTCAAGTACAAGACACAAACCATTAAACAGATTTCGGTTAAATCTGATATTGGTATCGACTCTGTATTGTTTACGTCTGTATCGTGCCACAGTAACCTTTGCATCACATGAACTCGAAGTGAATATGATCAGATTTATGATAAACGTCTTGTCGTAAAGAAACTGCAGGTACATAACATATAATAGGTGTGGCCGCGAATATCCATAACGGCAGCAAAGAAAACTGTCACATTATTCCAGTCCATCGTCCAAAGAATGGTTTTAAACCTGCCACTGCATTTATGTCTTAGTCCTATTAATGTTCGTTTCCCACGTTACATCTCACCAAAACATATGCCATTGCGTTTCGCGGTTCTTGAAGGTTCATGTATGTAGGACGTATGTGGGAGTGGAGATATAACTCCACCATTCTTGACCTCAGCACTAGATGGAGGTGAATGGCCAGCTCCACGCCCCGGCCGCTTTACTCTTGGCGAAATAGCCCCAGTTATCCATTCGATAGGAGGTTGGTGGGTCCCACAGCCGGTCTAGGCACTTTGGAGAAGAATAAAATCTCTTGCCGCTGCCGGAAATAGAACCCCGGCCGTCTTACTTGGTTTAATGTACTAACTAATTAACTAACTGCATGGATCAGAGTCCTTCTTGGGAAGCTAGAAGCTGCTCAGGTACTCTCGAAATTCCCTACGTTTCTTGGAACCAGGAGGTTCACAAGAGTCCGCCACTGAACCCTGTCGTCATTCTTGACTTCATTAACCAGAAAGTTAGGTTAAGGCCAGGCGCCCACTGAAGTCGCATTATGCATGATCTGACAATGACGTAACTCTGATCTGACCTTGAAGCAATGTGACAAAATGAGTAGCGCTCACTAATATGTAGGCTAGTCAGGCTATTTATCCATCCTTTAATGTCATTCCCAGTAGCTCAGACAAAAAGCGCTGAATGGTCGAATGAGTAATGAATCGTGAATTGTAAAAGATGAGGAAGGAAGCAGTCGTAATCTAGTTCCAGGTGCTCTCCCGGCATTTCCCTGGAGAGATCTGAATCCAGGCTCACCGGAATATGACACAGAAGTGCTACCCCTCGAACACCAAGTTTGGTGCTAGAAAGGTAAAGCTGTCCCTGTAACAAGCCGTGAAGGCCCATAGGGGTGTGAGACGTCGAGGCTTCCACATTTTTTCTATACAATCGGATCACAGATGGCGGTAATGTTGTCAGCCTTACGCACCGGCCGCCCTTTACCATCAGGAAAATTCCTGGTACTTATTTCTGTTAGAGGCTGTGTCGACCCCAGGGCCATGAAGGATTAGGTCAGTTGAAAAATCTAATAACCTACTTGGGATTCGATCCCGCGACCTTCCGGCTCGTAGCATAGTGCCTCAACCAACTACGCTACCGAAGTTTGGCGCTACTCAGATAAAAGTGTGTTTGCCCGATGAAGATGTGTCGGTTGATCCTGGGTTGCCTGAATTTAATTGACATGGGCGAGAGTTTGAAACGCACGTCGTCCAGCAGATCGTCTTCTGGTTATGCAGTGGCAAATAATTGAATTTCTGCAGTTAATTAAAATTAATAAAGAATTCAATTTCTGCAGTTAATTAAAATTAATTTAACACATAACGTGTGTATGAGCCTACATATTAGGATAACAAAACTTTAACAGTAAGTTCTGGAAAGAAATAATAACCTAATTTCCTTTGATACGACACGGACCGCATAGAAAACACCTTAAACAGTTCTTATATTGTTGCGTGTGCATTCGTCGCCGTGGTAACGTTTTTACAAGCGGTTGCCTTGCAACGATAGGGATATACACATACAGTCACACAGACTGGTGGGAGAGATTTATGAAGAACGCCGCTGAGATGGGCTCAGGTGCCATGATATACATACCAAGCTTCATAAAGACTGGTTCAGTCGTTCAAAAGTTTATTTGTGGGGGATTCACTGACTCAGACAGCGGGATGATCTCATAAGCGTATTTTCAAAATAAGGAAAATAGGCTGAAAGTTGAAATATTATAAACGTTTATTTCATTATAAAGTAAACACGTTAAGAAATATAAGCATAACGTAAAAATGTTGGTGTTTGTCCCCTTCTGTTTAATTTTCTCGAACACTATAATAATAATAATAATAATAATAATAACGGAAAAAATATTAGAAATAAAATGTTCACTTAATTTTGTATACAACTTTTGTTCAAACATTTCTCGTCCTGGTAAAACTACAAAGTTGCGGTCAAGATGCATGCAGTAACTCATGGAGGTCTTCAAATAAACTGTTCCTTACGAGTATTCCTGTCGCATTTTAGCCCAAATCTGATCATGTCCTCAAACTTCTCACGTTGGAACATATGGGCAAATGAACATGTGCATAACAGTATGCGAATTTCCGCATTTCTTCGTTGTGAATGCTCCATAAGAAAGCATGCAGGGGAAGAAGTTCGAATTTCAATACAACGACGGTTGTAGCAACACGACAAATTACATTTCAATTAAATACATAGAGAGCAACAAACTCAGGTAAGGTGGACAGACAGATATAGGAAGCTAAAATGTGCAACTTCTCATTACGAACACATCAAAAATAAACAAGTAGGTCTACTGTATTAATGCAGAAGTAATTTAATCTTACTTTCTATTGTCATAAATTAAAATTAAATCATTGCTTTAAATTTGTTTTATTTGTTCATCGAAATTCTACAAATATTATGTTCTTGGACATTATCCATTTTCTTGTCTTTATCTAAAAACAGTCCTGTTTATTTTTCAAAACACAACGATTCGGAGATAGGGACTAGCTCTATCGATTGGGCCCAACTGAGTAGGTTTTACCTGAAGACGAGGACAGAATCCAGTCTCCGGAACGTTGTTTTTTGAAAAATAAACATGACAGTTTTTACATAAAGACAAGACGACGAATAATGTCCAAAAACATAATATTTGCACCAATGCATCATCGTCACAAACTTTTAGATCTTATCGAAATTCTAATTCTGTTGCCGTAATTCCTCCAGAAGCTACGCCGAAACTGAAGGCGTCTGACGCTGCTGATGACAGAAATGGTAGATCCATGTAATAACCTTAATTACTTGGTCTGGCAGTATCTGTTAGCGAAGATCCGCTGTGTTCTTTCAGTATCTGTTGAGCTAAGTTTAGTATTCCAATTTTGAAACGCCTTTTTTGCTCTGCGTTCATCTCTCTTATATCTGGAAGAACACTTTTAAAAAACGATAAGTCCGGATCTTCGACTTCGTTTTGCCCTGAGTGCCTCCTGGATCGATAAAATTCAAATTCCGATCTATTTACATCTTCTACTGATATAGTCCTTTTTATTCTCTTAGTGGTTGGTGTACCGAAATCTTCGGGTACATCTTCCTGCCATTTTCCCACATTCATAATAGAATCTTCATTCTGGCGTTGTGCCCCATTCTCTTGCTCGTCGTCGCGGAGAAACTGTGACGCCGGTTCGGGCGACTCCATTCCATTGTCATAGCCCTGCTCCTCGGCGTCTGGTTCCGAAGATAGGCCTACATGTTGTAATTTTCCGATTTGCTTCCTCGATTTTGTGAAAGGTTTCAAGAAATGCATATATTCCGCCAGATAATAAGGCTTCTTATATCTATTTCCATCGCCAGAACACAATTTAATTGACTTCAAGTATCTTGTGAAAGACGCCCTTAAATTTTTCCACCGTTCTTTACACTCCAACACTAGAAGAAACAAAAATAAAAAAGTTTGTTTTCAATTGCCTTCTTAACAGTCTATAAAATTCAAAATCACTTTAGTTTAATCGTATTATTATTATTATTAGAGGGGGTGGGTTTCCCCATGCACTTAGACCAGTTATTGGTATATTGTGCGTCCCCCTTTAATTTCTACTGTCCCCATACCCTACCGGTACTGGTGCGAGCTATCAGCCCCGTTCAGCCAACAAGGTCGGCCGTCGGTAACTGATAATTCCCCCATCTACTAGAGGCGTTGGAAACTACTTGGGCGGGAAATTGTTACCTAATTAATTTTGCTGTGGTCTCCTAGAGACAAGAGGATCTTTTACGTGCCGTAAATCTACGACACGGGACCCACGGCTTAAAGTCCCTCCCGGAGGACTTGTTCCCTGAATTTTTCCGCCCTTAAAAATTCCATGACCTCCGCCGGGTTTGAACCTGCATACCTTGAGTCATGAGGTGGGAACGTTACCCCTAGACCGCTCAGTTTAATCGTAACTATAACAAAAGTACAAGGAATGTAATATTTTCACTTTTCAGAAACTTTGCAACAAAATGATCATTTAAAATGATTTGTTATTTTTTAAGGATAGACGACGATTCGGAATGTTGTAACAACGCCAATGGCCATCTTGAATGTTTTGAATGAATGAATGCATAAGGGTTGGGCCGTAATAATCCGGCCCTTGCACTGCGACCTTCAATGATCTATTGTGCTTCCTTCTTTCTGATTAAAGCTTTTATCAATCCTACACTTCGAATGAAATGTAGGACTTTGTTTATGGGGGCGTCATAATAGTCACTTGGTTCCATGAAGAACTGGCCCAGGTGACGAAATCTTAAATAAGCTATGGCCTCACAATAACATAGGATCTGAAATGTTTTACGACAGGATTATTTGCCTAACTGTGTAGGCACCGTAAAGGAAAAGCAAGCCAAGCTCCTGCACGCGTCGAATCAGCATTCAGTAACTAGAAGCAAATTGTTCACACCTGGCTCCTTTATCGGCAACCGCTATCGCCGACTGTTGGCTTCTTATTACGTGTGTCTGCATGTTGGGGAGTGTCGTCATAACAGCGCCAACCGCTAAACGGCCAGTTTACTTTATCAGACTGCTTCCTTACAGAACAAGTTGACTCGAGCTGCAACGCACCTAATCTAGAGACGCATGGTTCGAATCACAGCCGAGACAAGGAATATCCTGGCTAAGGACTTTTTGTGGTATAACCCTTGTCCACTTTTTGTGGTACACACACACACACTGATTAAAAAGTTGGTATATTACCTGATATGAGGCCATGGTCGTTTCATTCAGCTAACCGACTAATTATATGGGGGTGAGTCCTTCTTGGGAAGCTCATAGTTCCTTAGAAATTCCCAGCCCCGAAAGTTTATTGCGGTGTCCACAACAATGCACCGCTGGTCCCTATCCTGCGACAGATAAATCTAGCCTACACCCTCAAATCCTGTTTCTTTAAGATTCATTTAAACATTATCATTCCTCCTACATGTATGTCCTTAGCTGTCTCCTTCCTTCAGAAATTCTGCCAGCACTTCTCTCCTTTCCCATGCAGACTACATTCCTTACCCATCACATTCTCCTTAATTTTATCATTTTAATAATATCTGTCGTCTAGGAGTATAAGTTATGAAGCTATTTATTAAGTCATTTTCTCCAGCCGTTTGAGGTTCAAATGCTCTCTTCAGCACCCTGTTCTCAAACACCCTCAGTCTGTGTTATTTTAACATGACAGACCAAGTTTCATGCTAGAACACTTCACTAGACTGTTCACTATTATCCAACCACAGACACTACATAGCCTAAACTACTAACAACCTTCTTGAAAGAACTACAAATTAAACATCATTTCCTTTTTATTTCGTTGGTGATGAGGCACACTCCTTGCACTACCTGATGGCACCCTATTCACGGAGAGAATTACAACTACAGGACTTCAACGTGAAGATAATTTAATGTGAATTTGGAATGTTACTTTCCAAGTGAGAACGCTGAAAGTGCCGACGTGCTGCAAAGATGAGAAAATATATATTAGTGTAAAAGCCACCACGGGTTTACGTATTTCATACAGCTTCAAGATGGCTTACTTCCGCATCCATCTTCATTTCAGCTGCTGCAAGCAATCAGCACGCATGGGTACGGTGGAAATTGGGAGCGCAGTATGAACCATGGAAGTCACAGTTAACTTCCGAAACAGATTTAATTATTTCTTAAGATCACGCTGAATTCTGCCTTGGCAAGACACACGGTTTAAGTTGGGTTTTAACTTTCGTAATGTTTACTTACAACAGTAATGTTTAAAAATTGGCACCAACACTAATTTTTACTGATTTATTACAGGATCTATACGTAACATTTTGTAAATAAACAATCTGAACTTACCTGAACCTGAAACTTCCTTTGCGATTTTTTCCCATGCCCTTTCCTGAATATTTCTGTTATTGTACTCGGCACAACTAAAATCGAACAGACACCTCTGTTTCTCTATCAAAGATACAAATGAAATATTAAAATCTGGATCGTCTCTCATGGCCGCCTCCGCCGAAGCGTATAACAAGTGATCTGATACTAACAAAGCAGAAGTATTTCTAGTGTGTCAACATTGAGGAAGTAACAGGCAACACACACGTGACTGTCGCTGTTGTCATGTTGGGCCTCCGAGCGCTCTCTCTCGTAACATCTCGGCGTCTGCACTCCACAAAAGTGGCATTTTGTTCGGCTCGTTACGGTTCGGTTTATGCAACGGGACGGCAAGGAATGTATTCAGCAACCAAAAAACATTAACCAAAGCTCTATGGCCTGCATTCAGGCTGATATCCGACTTCATACTGTTGAAACAATGAACGGAAGCTCTAATGGGAAAGATTAGCGTCATAAGTCAATGATTAATTCAAATCAAGTAATAAACAACGAACAGCAAATTGTACCAATATAAACATGAGTTCAATTCCAACAAACACTATTTTCACAGAACTTCTCCCGAAATTAGTAGTAACAAAATTACGATAGTGTTCTTAATGATTATGATGATGCTGATAATGATAATGATAATCGAGGCCTCTAGGCCACGGTGATTGGAGTATACCAAGTCACATACAGGACAGTTGTCTCCTGGGAAAATGAAATGCGAATGTCAGCCTTGACCCATTTTGTTACAAGAGTCGTCAGTAGATTAAGTGCTTCCATATCGGAAGAACTAGAAATTAGAGGCCTTTATTCCGTAACTAAATTCAAGTAAAAATAGGTTTCTGAAATAATACAAAAAATGTAAGTATTCATTAAAAGACACATGACGGGACCCGATGGAAGATAGACTCCATGGTCGCCCAATAAATCTGTTTCTATTAAAGGAAACAAACTTTTTTGTTAGTCTGTTTTGACAAGACTGGTTTTCCATGAGTATGGGGTTCGTTAGGATGCTGGATGCACGTTCTCATGGCCAGTGCGATTGCTCTTGGGCTATTTCTGGTTTGTTTGGCTGTCCATTCGCTAGCCTAATGACGGGTTGCTTGGAAAAACACCTGATAACCTGCGAAATTATCTTACCTTACTTTTACACTTCGGCGTTCATTTTGTTGTTACATACGTTCGGACTACTGACATTGCATGCACAGGTGATATAATGTTTTAGGCGGCAGTACTGAACGGAGCATGCGCAGTTTGTCATACTAACCTCCCTCCGTCCGACGTCATATCTTTATAATGCCAAGTAAACTCTTACGGCCAGTATATTCGTTTAAAAAGAATGACGCGTAAGTTTAAAATCACGTGTTAGATCACTCGTCGCATCATAGTAATGTCACTTCAAGGGGCCTCCCCCGGCCTGTGAGACAAAATAAGACAGATGGAGATTTGTTAGCTTTCACTGGTTACATGCAACTGTCAACACGTCATATAACAACCGAAAATCAACGCCTGAAGTAATTTTCTAAATTTCTGTAATGGTATTTCCTCTGCACCACACACACACACACACACACACACACTGATTACTATTTTGACATGCTTTTTCCGTTCCAAACTTCCATCATTACCCCCATCTAAAGGAGCCGAGACAGCGCAGTCGGTGTAGCGACTGGCTACGGGCTGGACGACCGAGGGGTCGGAGGTCGAGTCCCGGTAGGCTAAAGAACATTCTCTTCTCCACGTCGTCCAGACTGGCTCTGGCGTCCACCCAACCTCCTATCCAATGGGTACCGAAGGGCTCTTTCCTCGGGGGTAAATCGGCCGGGGCGTGAAGCTGGATCTATACATCCACTCTCCCATACGCATTCATAGCGCAGTGCCTGATTAGTTAAGCACAGGGACAACTTTTTTACCTTTACCTTACTTCCATCTAGAGCACAGGTCTATGAATTGAATACGACAAACACTGCCTATATGCTTGCTACAAAGTTCCAGAAATTGATATGTGTCTCCAGACCCACACAGGTCTATCCTCCATCAAAGATTTAACGATTTTACCGCTGTCTGTGGAAATTGGATCCTACATGTGTAGGTGAAGTGGGCAGGAAGGGATTTTTATTGTCAGTACTAATCATTATGTCCAGTTATCGTAACATCATCAATCATGAAGGTCTCTGTGTGTAATTCTCCATCCTCACAGTCTCGGAACCCCGAATATTTCCGTTTGCATCGCGTTTTCATAAGATGTTGCTATTTTCCTCGGTTTCAAGATGAATGCTAGAATATTATCTCTAAATAGGTCATGACCGTCGTGCTCCAGATTCTTGTTTACCTACTATTCGCGATCTTTTTGTCACGTTCGACGCTATATGTCTTGTAGTTGAAACAAATCCAAGTTTCTTTTAGCTTAGTACACCTCTACGATCTCGGGCTGCGCGCAGCTGTGAATCCCCGTAGATCTCCTACTGTACGATGTAAGTGAAGAGCACAAACTGAAAGTGTCTGAGCGAAAGTGCTGAATCCAAGATAAATGAAGTGGCTAATGGAAAACATAGACTGAGGGGCGTATAAGACCAGAATAAAAGGGATAAAGGTGAAATTGTCCCTGTGCTTAACTACTTAAGCACTACGCCATGAAGGCGTATGGGGCAGTGAATGTATGAATCCACATTTTCTTGACCTAGGCACTAGTTAGAGGTGAGTGGTCAGCTTCACGCTCCTGCTGCTTTACCCTCGTAGAAAGGGCCCCCGGTACCCATTTGATAGGAGGATGGATGGGCCCCACAACCCGTCTGGATGAAGTAGAGAAGAGAAAAATCTGAACCCTACTGGGACTGAAACTTCTACCCCTCGATCGTCCAGCCCGTAGCCAGTCACTATGCCGACTGAGCTATCCCGATACCCTGAAAGCAGCATGCTGGGGATATTTGCAGCTGAGAGAAAGGAAGAAATGGGAGGCTGGAGAAAATTCAGTAGTTAAGATTGTCCACCGAATATTGTTAGGATGAACAAAGTAAGGAGAATGAGATGGGACATGTAGCACGCAAGGTAGAGATTAGAAATGAGTACAGTTTTGATAGAAAATTGGAAGGGTACAGCCCACTTGGATGTAATAGATGCAGATGAGAAGATAATATTGAAATAGGTCTCTTTTTAGTGGGGTGGGACTAAGTCCCTTGTACTGCGGCCACTTCTGGCCTATTGTACCAGCCCCAGATGATAGGTGAGGGTGATTGTGGAGCAATTGGTGGAATGAAGATTGGCAGGGGAAACCGAAGTACTCGGAGAAAACCTGCCCCAACGCCACTTTGTCCACCACAAATCCCACTTGACCAGACTTGGGATCAAACCCGGGCCGCCGCGGTGGGAAGCCAGCGACTAACCACTTGAGCTATGGCACGGCCTTGTAGCAACAGCAGTAAATGCCATCTGCTGGCAGACTGACCACATCAAGACAGACAGGAGACGAAATTGAAGCAGGAAGCCTTCCTGATGTCCGATCTTTCTGAGAAGTTGACTGCGACACGATCTCTATCCAGCAGACGAAAAACGCAGACTGTTAGTAAGTTAAGGAACAAAGCAGTAGTTTGTTATGGTGCGATGCAACCTGAAGCAGAGCATCAGGTTAATTCTCAAGTAGGTTTGCAGCTTCGGACACTTCGATGATGTAGACTCCATGAGGTTTGGGAAAGTATTGGAGCTGAGCTCTTCTTGAGAAGCCACCAATTGCTCAGATACTCAACATTTTTCCAACATATTACGGAACCCGCAGGTTCATTAGCTGCTCCAAAGAGCTCACCACTAGTCCTTATCACGAGCCACTTCAGTTCAGTCCATACAACTCCAACCTATTTCTTTAAGGACAATTTTAATATCTTTCTCCCAAATACGCCCTTATCTTCTTAGTGGTCTCTTTTCGAAATAGGCCAGAAGTGGCCGCAGTACGAGGGACTTAGTCCCACCCCACTAGCAATAAAAATAATAGTAGTCTCTTTGCTTCTGACTTTACCACCAAAACTCTGTATGCATTCCTATTCTCCCCCATACGTGCTGCACAACTATATTTTGGTGAGAACATGTTATGAAGCTCCGTATTATGCAGTTTTCTCCAGCATCTTGTTGTCTCAGCCCTCCACTGCCCGGCACTCTCCTCAGCACGCTGTAACTACGGCGCCAGCAACACAGACTGGTGGCACGATACGTCACTAATGAATTGGAAACGATGGGAAGGAACTTGTCGTAGCTAATTCGAGGTATTCACGCGACATCCTTCTGGAAAGACTGAGGTAAATCACGAAAAACCTCAGTCAGGAAAGCTGACCGAGATTTGAAACCAGGTAAAAAGCGGTGACGGTAAAGCTGTCCCTGTGCTTAATTAATTGAGCACTACGCCATAAAGGCGTATGGAGGAGTGAATGTATAGATCCACATTTTCTTGGCCTCTGCACTCGTTAGAGGTGAGCGGTCAGCTTCACACATCGGAAGCTTTACCCCCAGTACCCAGTGGATGGGGTGGGTGGACCCCAGAGTCGGTCTGGATGATCTGGAGAAGAGAACATTCTGGCTCCTACTGGGACTCAAACTTTGACCCCTCGGTCGTCCAGCCCATAGAGATGCGCCATACCGACTACGACATCCAGATTTGAAACCGGGACCTTCCGAAAACTAAGTACGAATGTTCCCCACTCCACCATGGTGTTTGCTGTTGTCTTATGTAATGTAATATTTATCTGACACTTAGCCATTTCAGAAGAGCCAACCCTCATTTTAAGTAAAGAACATCACTGGACCGATTACGAGAAAAAAATGAAATCGCTCGACAGTTTTGGTGTCGACAACCCCGCAAGTACCAGATTTCATGAAAAGCAATAGATTGCTGTGGGTAAACTGTTAAATGCGCTATCTGAAGGGCAGAAGAACGCAGATACAAGCCAACCAGTTATACTTCCTACAGATACGAAGCAGGCATGCGAACTGATTCAAACCACAAAAATAGTGTAGCCCTACTCTCTACAACGCTGCATGTCGAAGTGATGATGCTGTCTTAGGCTTCAGTTTCAAGTATTGAGTGGGTCTGATAAGATTGCGTGTTGCAGACAAGGAATCCTGTGTTACTTACGGGCCAGGGATGTACAGGCGGGCCAGAAGTCGTATTTTCGCAGAATTCGATACCGGTAAGTTTAAAATTGTAAGTTCACTCGTGACAGTTGCGAAAATAATTAAAATTAGTAAGATTTAATGGGAGTGAAGGTCAGACGGGACAGAGATGGCACCGAACCAGCAGGAGAATATACATTTTTCTATGAAAAGGTGAATGAGAATCATCAATTACGTACAGATTTATTTCTTACATAAGAGAGTCTAATCAGCAGTTAACGAGGGTAGAGTTTGTTAGTGATGGGATTTCATACATAATACTATTCTTTTTATTATTATTCTTAGTGAGGTGAGACTGAATTTACTTGGTACTGCGGCCAATACTGGCCACTACTGGCCACTACTGTACCAGCCCCAGATGATAGATGATGGTGATTGTGGGGCAGTTGGTGGAATGAAGATTGGCAGGGGAAACCAAGTACTCGGAGAAAACCTGCCCTAGCGCCACTTTGTCCACCACAAATCCCATATGACGAGACCCGGGCTCGAACCCGGGTCGCCGCGGTGGGAAGCCAGCAACTAACCGCCTGAGTTATGGTGCGCCCTACATAATACTAAGAATTAGCTGGTGAAATATCATTGTTCTAATTGTTCATGCCCCCACAGAGGATAAAACTCGTCATAAAATTAAACATTTGTTTGATAATTTTCCTATCTAAAATGGTCTAAACCAAGGAGATGCTTTAACGCCATTGCTCTTCAGCTTTGCTTTAGAACATTCCATTGGGAAGGTTCAGCAAAACCGGGTGGGACTGAAATTAAAAGGGACACATCAGCTGTTGGTCTGTGCTGATGATATGAATCTACTGGGTGATAATGTAGATACCATAAAGAAAAACACACAAACTTTAATTGTTTCTGGTAAGGAGGCTGGTCTAAAAGTAAACACAGAGAGAACTAAGTATATGTTGCTGTCTCGTCACCAAAATGCATGGCAATATCAGGACATAGAAATAGGAAACAGATGTTTTGAAAATGTGGCACAGTTCAGATATTTGGAAATGACAGTAACAAATCAAAATTTGATTCAGGAAGAAATTAAGAGGAGATTGAACTCTGGTAATGGTTGCTACCATTCAGTCCAGAACCTTTTGTCTTCTCGTCTGTTGTCCAAAAATATAAAAATTAGAATATACAAAACTATAATTTTACCTGTGGTTCTGTATGGGTGTGAAACTTGGTCTCTGACATTAAGGGAGGAACATAGAATGAAGGTGTTTGAGAACAGGAGAATATTTGGTCCGAAGAGAGATAAAGTGACAGGAGTTTGGAGAAAATTGCATAATGAGGCACTTCATATCTTGTACTCTTCTCCAAGCATAATTATAATGACCAAGTCAAGGAGGTTGTGGTAGGCAGTGCATATAGGACGAATATAATATATATGATATTGACCGCAAAGACAGATGGAAAGAGATCATTAGAAATACCAAGACGTAGATGGGTTGGATAATACTAAAATGGATCTCAGATAGGATGGCGCGGCATGAACTGGATTGCTCTGGTACAGCATAGAGACCAGTGGAGGGCTCTTGTGAACTCGGTAATGAAACTTCGGGTTGCATAAGATGCTGGGAAGTTTTCGGTAGCTGCACAAGTGACAGCTTCTCAAGAATGGGTCAACTCCTTGGAATTAGTCATATCCGGAAATCTGAGTGGTGGAGCTACTGAGCTACGGGCCGGACGACCGAGAGATCGTGGTTGGATTCCACACGCGTTTCGTGGTCCTACGAATATCCTAGCCAGTGGATAAAGCGATAGAGATGTGAAACTGATCACACCTCGTTATACTGCCTCGGTTAAGTATGGGTGGGGCCATCTTCTCCATGTAGGTGGGTCCCTTGTCGCCACGGCATGGCGCGTCCTCGGGTTGCGGATGGAGGAGACGGTCTCCAGGTATCGAGGGAAGCTACGAATATATTGAATAAGCAGTCGCGGACAGCCGATAAGGGGTGGTCCTTCAGCTTGGAGGTTGGGCGTGGGGCATGAAATCGCCGTAAAAATGTTCAAAAAGCCTCGGACCTGGACGGATCCTCTGGATAAACGACCTAGGCTAAAGAAAATGGACGGGAGATTCGGTACTTGGAAATCTTAGAGAGATAGGATGGAATGGTATGGGTTGGACTGATCAGGGGACCAGTGGAGGGCTCTTGTGAACACGGTAATGAACCTTCGGGTTCCATAAAATGCTGGGAAATTCTTGAGAAGCTGCAGATTTTGCTTCTCAAAAAAGGCTCAGCTCTATATGTAAGCAAGTATTATTTTTTTATTGCTAGTGGGGTGGGACTAAGTCCCTTGTACTGCGGCCACTTCTGGCCTATTGTACCAGCCCCAGATGATAGGTGAGGGTGATTGTGGAGCAATTGGTGGAATGAAGATTGGCAGGGGAAACCGAAGTACTAGGAGAAAACCTGCCTCAGCGCCACTTTGTCCACCACAAATCCCACTTGACCAGACTTGGGATCGAACCCGGGCCGCCGCGGTGGGAAGCCAGTGACTAACCGCTTTAGCTATGGTGCGGCCTAAGTAAGCAAGTAAGTAAGTAAATTAGTTAATGAAAACATGCAGTAAATGCACCATTAAAAGTGATGAGTGTCCTGAATAATTTTCAGTTAGTAGAAATGATGACTTGGTAGCAAACGTGCAAGTAATGGATGAAGTGAATTTCTTATGGTTCAAGGTAAGGGGCTATATTCTATCTATATAAAGGTTTACATAGACGTTCGAAAATTACTATATCTACTTTCGAAGTTTAAAGTATTTTCTGACTGATTTTTTCCTTTTTCGTGGTTTCTCTACACCATATCACATCAGCTTTCAGTTTACCCCAGTTCTCAATGAATAATTTTCTTGCTTGAAACTATGACGACAAAAGTTGAAAAATCAATGCAAATAAGTGGGTGAAAAGAGTAGTTGGAAAGAATTCGTGAATAGTTAATAAATTAGACAGACAAAGAGACAATGGTAGAATTGGGTCAGTTATGCTCAACATTTTTTTTTAATTATGGATGTTTATAAGTGGAATGTTTCTAAAAGTTCGAAAGTTTTGTGAATGCGTTATGCAGTAGACATGCCAATAGTACACATGCTGACAACTTGAAGGATATAAATTGATAAGCGAATAGTATAAGATATTCTTTAAGCAGAAAAAATGAGTTGCATTTGTAAACGTACATGCTGTCAAAACTGTATTAACAGAGTTTCACGGCGCTAAATATTTGCTGTCCCAGCTGACGTTTACGTTTGTGGTCCATTTAACGACTCAGCCACAAACTCAGATCAGTGGCATCGAATGGCAGGATGGGAATTCGAAAGGATATGGAAGGAAGCAGTATTGGCCTCACTGAAGGTATTATCTTGCTATACTATGCTACAAGCAGGAAGGTCGCGGGTTTGATTCCCGTTGAGGTCATTAGATTTTAAATTGGCCTAATCTATCCAGCCGCACTATGATCCTGGTGTCGACTCAGCCTCTAACAGACATGAGTACCAGGAATCTTCCTTCAGGTAAAGGGCGGCCGGCGTGTAAGGCTGACAAACTCACCTCCATCTGTGTGCGTATTATCTAGAAAATGTGAGAGCCTCAACGTCTCACAACCCCAAGGGCCTCCATGACCTGTTAGAGGGATAGCTTTACTTTTTTTATATACCTGAAGGTACAGAGGAAAACCAGTGTCAGCCAAGACAGCATGTGTTCTGGCCAGGATTCGAACTGGATAGACTGTAAGGAGCTCTGTTGCTTCAAACAATGTATGCTTCTGTAGTGTGTAAGAATTTTGTTATGTGAACCTGTCTTCAAGATGCTCCTGCTTCTATTGATTGTAAACACTCCGTGTACAACATTAACGCACAATGAGACGCTCTGAAGGATTAAGATTAAATGTAATACAGAAATCTTCACTAAAGACTGTCGGATGAATTCCATATTCCTCTTCTGTAACTTCTACTTTACGTTACAGTCCAACTTTGTCGAACGCCTCAAAAACTGTTTTACATATGGCAAAAAATCGTAGCCTACATAATAAAAATACGGGATAGCGTAGTCGGTATAACGACTGGCTACGGGCTGGACGACAGATGGGTCTGAGTTCGAGTCCGCGTAGGGTCAAGAATTTTCTCTTTCCCAAGTCGTCCAGACCGGCTCTAGGTTCCCCCTAACCTCCTGTCCAATGGGTACTGGGGGCTCTTTCCCCGGGGGGTAAATTTACCGGGGCGTGAAGCTGACCATTCACGTCCAACTAACGCCGAGGTCAAGAAAATGTGGCTGTATATATCCACTCCCCCATACGCCTTCATGGAACCTTCGGGTTCCATAAAATGCTGGGAAGTTCTTGAGTGGCTGGGCGACTGGCGGTTTCTCTTAGTTACTACTACTACTACTACTACTACTACTACTACAACTACTACTACTACTAGTAGTAGTAATAATAATAATAATGCGACATGGGGTCTGAAAGCCGGAGTAGCGGAGCCAGAGTAGACGTTCATTGCTAGGCAACGACTCGGTAAAAAAGGTTCCCACGGAAATGAACACGCATGCCACAATATAAGAACTACGGTTTCTATGTAATGGCAGGGAAAACACACCCACGTAATAGAGAAACTGTTAGGAAATGGTATTCTCTGTTGGATCCACCTCGAGGCTGTATAACGAGAAGAATTGAGAGAGTCTCTGAAGTCGGCATTCGCTGTGAAAATAAGACTTTATATGTGCTGCAGTGCCAATGGGAGTGTTAAAAATCCGTTGCCAGGATACGACTAGAGAAGATGTAGAGCAATACTGTGCGTGTGGAACGGTAACCTACAAAGTGATAGCGCTGTAATCGCATTATCGCCACTGCCATCATTGCACGTCGCTGTGTAATGGCTGCCAATCTTGCTCCGTATACGGGGAATTGCATTCAGGTCTCTGCCCGAAGACCGTTTTGATCTGATTTGCTTCGAGGTGCCTTCGGTCCTTCCTAGCTTATTCTGGAACAAAGCCTTAAAAGATGCCATGATTGCATACTCTCACATC